CCCTGAGGAGAGGATAGCCCCAAGTACTACACTCCGCTGTAAATTATGCTCAGCTTGATATAATTTTGTAACAATGAGTTTTAAACCAGGTTAGTAACTATGTGTCTCCAGTAGCACTTCCATGGATGAAACTCAAAGTCAATGAAAATCATACCCAAAACTGTGTGCATGCAAAGTTCATTAAGTTATAAACTGACACTTGTTCAATAAACATAACCCTTTAGACCGATTTAACATTTATCCTGAAAAGCTTAACCTGCTCACATATAATATTCTGAGTTTTCTTCTCCACAATCAACATTTTAGTGGCTGTCATTAAAAAGTGTCTTCTTAAACATCCCTAACTCATTTTCAATAGCATGAGAGAATAAATAGCTTTAGCTCTAAATGCTTTGGGCCCAATGTTATTTATAGCAACAACATAAGTAATACCACTTATTTTTATTGTTATTAAAGTGAATAATGTGTTACTATTTTGTGATCACAGAGAATAATACTGTAATATTGCAGAAGGGCAAGTTGCTTTCAATCAATGAATGCCAGTCTTCAAAAAGCAAGTTCAGTACTGTGCATACCCTTCAGGTCATACAACTTGCTTCTCTATTTATTTGTGGGAGTTTGGTATTTATTTGTAATTGCATGATGATCCCTGTCCTTAAATTTAGAAGTTGGATGGCTGTTTTGATGGTATTTTAAAAGTAAAGAACTCAAGTTTTAACGTGGTAACACTATGGAAGAGATCATGATTTTTGGCCCTAAATTTTTCAGACACCATTTGGTATGTCTCTTTCCTCCTGAACCTCCAAAAGGGATCCCCACAGTAGGACTATCATCAACCCAACAAGCTATTTAGAGAAGTTGTCTTCAAGCATCCCAGCTGCTTCAGTGTACAGCATGAAGTCTACTTCTAATAGAGAACTAGTAAGCCCTGTTACTGAGGGAGTTCAAGTTAAACTGACTGCAACCCAGGAAAAGGTGAAAATTGGTCCAAGGGATAGGTTTTCCTATTTACCAAATGGAGAGGATGAGTTCCTGGTTTTCGTGCCTGTGGATGAAGAAATCATCTTGAGAGCTCAAGAAAATACAAGTCAGTAGCATGTGAAGACCTTTAAGTAGAAGAATGCCCAAGCCTTCTCTAAGATTTTTTTTTAAGATTAATAGTGAGTGAGATACAGTGTTTTGGAAGATGGAATAATCTCTTGAGCAGAGGTGAAATCTGAGCTGCCAGTCCTGCAAGGTTAACTTGGATCTTCCTCCGTCATCCTATTCAGAAGAACATAATCATGCCTTTAGTTTTGTCAAGTACCATTATCTCATGTGGCAGCTGGCAAGGAATTCAGTCCCAAATAATATTTTCATGAACAGGCCTGTTGCAGATGCAACTGCTAGTAGTTGAGCTTATTCCCATATAACATGTCCTCTGTGGTGTCCCTTTGGTGTATGGCAAAAATTTACTTTCTCTGCTAACACCTACAGATTTTACTCTGAGGAAATCTGCTCAGCTGTGGTTAACCTTCATACTGACAATTTTATCACAGAACCATGTTTTGGTATCATAGTTAGTTAGTTATCATAGAACTTCATGTTTTGAAGACAGACTCTGCTTAGAGTCCTGTTCTCAATTACATCAAAAGCAAACATCTTCTGATTCTTGACCCAAACAAGATGAGCTTTGGAAGCTCTGTCACTATGTCCATCTTTAGCCATAATCTTTGTAGCCTCCCACAAGAAAGCTGGAACAACTACTGGTCACTATCCGTATGTGCTAGCTGTTGCCATGGAGGAGCCTGTGCCCTTACTTTCTTCATAATAAAAGTAAGTTAGGTGTGAGTCCCCTCCCTGTTATTAAAGTTAGTCTTTCTAAATATCCCTCAGGTCTTACACAATCCTTAAAGAGGACATATAAAAGTGATGTATGAGGATCACTCTTGATCTTACATGGCTATAAGGTATACAACCTGTTCACCTCAGCTAGAAAATGATGTGTTCTATTTATTTGTTATTGAATTACCTTCTAGAATTATGTAAAAACATTAGCACGTTACTGAAAGCCTTAAATCATAGTCTCATTAGTTTGCCATAAAAAGAATAAAAACTCTTTCCTTAAGTGCATTAAATTTTGCACTATTATCTGTTCTACTGTTTAAAACAATGTTTTATAAAGAAGATTTCTAGTCCATAAGCCAGCTAGCTATAAACATTCTCACCCAACAACCAGCTAAGACAAGCTAGATAGGTACATGGATCTAATCTTCCTTATGTAAACTATAATTCTGTATTAAAAAGAAATATTTTTATTAGTTTTCATGTCCTCAGATTCCTAGTCTTGTTTAATTCAGTAACCTTGAGAACAAAGTGTTTGTCTGAAAAATACAGTTGTTTCCATGAAAAGAGACATGGGAATGGAAAAATTTCTACCTTTTTTTTTTTTAAAACTGTTTTGAAAATTCTTTGCACAACAAACCTCACCAATATGTAAACAGGACTCTAGCTACTGTGTTTGTCCACAGCTAGAGCTACAGATGAACACAGTGTAGTTGTGTGATGACAGGAACAGCTGACTCATTAGTAGAGAGCAGTGAAAGGTAATTAACCCTGGGAAAAGTACAGCTGCCATGCGAGCTGTTCCTTTCTGTAGGATCTGATTAGAAATTAGTGTTAAACCACTGATTCTTTAAAAAAATGTCATTGATAATTCACTTTCTCTCTCAGGTGTGGCCCCTAAAAGGGGCCTAGGACAGAACTAGTGTACAAAAGGTCTTCTATCTAAAAAAGGCCTTTTCTGAGAGGAGTACACACCTGTTTGGCTGCTTCTGGACTTTTCTTAACCATGAATATTCTCCCAGCTTTGAATGTTGTGAGGACACCCTCCAAGTCTATGGGCAGAGCAGAGAATGTGTTGTCAGAATGATTTAAGGTAGAACATTGTTGGTTGCCATAACGGTGCCTTTAGTGAGGCTGATTATTTAAAAGTCACGGCTACTACTTCTTGTATCAGGACATAGATCTGATGCAAAATGCTGCAGACCTCTTCAAAAGAAAACAAAAATCTGTCTCCTGGGGTAGGTGAGCACAGAATAAGAAAAAAAAGGATTATTCCCTGAGCATGGAAACCACCCCCCAGCCCACCCCCTTTCCTGCACTCTTTTTTGGCATTTGAGGTGCCAACAGAAAAGGCAGAACCCATGATTTAATGTAACATCCAAACATCAAGCCAGCCTATTGCATATATATTCAGACACCTGATACAGGCTTACATATCAAGAATGGCATAATTATCAACCAAAATAGCAAAATTTCATTAATGTGCTATTGGAATTTCTAAACTTCAGTTTATTATTTACAGCTGTCATATCCAAAATAGATTTTAATCATATTACTTTGTTAGAACTTCTGGCCAGGAATTTATCTTTGTGTACCTGTATGTATATTAATACAGAGTGTATATGACTGCTTTCACGTGCAAATAACATGCATTACTGGGGTCCACAAGAATGTTCTGGTTGTTTTCAACAGAACCATGGGATGGGATGACGGGAAATTGTGTTTAAATTAATAAAGTTTTTAAGACTTGTAAGATCCTGTAAGGTATCTCCACAGGTTGATATTTTTTTGTCCTGCTCAAGTACAATTTACTGTGATAGGATGAATAATGGATTACTGTTATTTACCAATCCAACCCTAACCATTCTATGATTCTATGGTAATATTACTAATATATGTTTCTATAGTGCTTTTTTTAACTCAGTGCTGTTTAGTGGTACAATGGGCCACTTTCTTGCCACATACGTAATATGCTCACATTGAATGAAACTTCTCTTTTTCAGCTTCCTTTAAATTAAACACAGTGCTTGCTGGGTACAATATTTGAACTTAATGTTACCACAAATACATACATATATATATATATATATATATACACACCTTATTGATATTTTCAACATTGAGAGCAAAAACATTCAAAACAAAATGGTTAACTATATTTCCTAGGAAAATGTTTACAGGAAAACAAGTGAAAGAGATATTTAAGTAAAGGGCTGAGATGCCAAGAGTGGTTAAGATTGCCTAATATGTTGAGAGAGAACAGAAATGTGTTTTAAATTAATTTGCCATTCATCATATATTAGTACCCATTCTTCTCAGAATTTTCCTTTTTTATTTGTGGATTTGGGTTTTTTTAGTAAAAAAGCTTGAAGAGAAAGAGGACACTTTTTTTTTCCTGGAAATCCCAAGTAATAACATACTCTTGAAGTATCAGGTTGAGTTTCAGAGGAAGTCAAAGCATGAGCAGGCTATTAAATTCATGAGGATGAAAATAATATTCACTACCTTAAAGCATGGTTAGAAATGCACAAAAACACTTCACAGCACTCTACGTCCTTACCCTTATTTAGCTAAAAAGTGAAGAGACTTGCTGAAGGTCACAGAATAGATCAGTGGCAGAGGCAGGAAGAGAGTTCCAGAATCCCTCTTTCTTCTTATTATTTGCTCAACCGCAGTGCTTTCTGTTTATTTCTATGACACAGGTGCCATTTTAAGAAATAACCTTTGCCCCATTCTAGAATCATAAAAGGTCCTGAAAAGAGAATTTAAACTGCCATCCCTGGTGCCACTGTCCTCTTAGCATAACTTTGGACAGACTCAATACACTTTTCCTTGCTCCACACACCTAATCCAAAGAGGTGCTAAGCAAAACCTTTTCATACAGGAAGTCTGTCCCAGTGATCATTTTACATGCACGTTTTTGTATCTGACAAATATTAGTCTATGGTTTTGTTACTTCATTTTCAAGGTAGTAGTGTTGTCCTTCGTTAGGTTTTTCCTGTGCTATTCAGCATGTTCCCAGGATCTTCAGGGCAGTGCAGCAGCGCAAGCAAGCCCCATTATCTTTAGCAGCTAGGGTCATTACAAGTCTTTTAGATGGTGGCAGACTGTACTTCACATGGCACTCTTGAAGTTAATGAACATATGTGATTTGCATGTTGAGGGAAGGCAGCACACTTCTTCCCTTTGTGTGACTTTCTCTTTCTTAGGACATGTCTGTCATGCTTAATGAAGAGAGCTTGTTGTTTGGAAATGGGGGGATGAATGCATAGGATATCAGAATAGTAGTTATACTTCTTTTTATAAAAATAGTTTGTATTTTTAGGTTCATTGTTCCTTTTGACTCCATGTTAGAGAATGTTCAATGAGCTAATTAGCCATGGGTTTTGTCCAGCATAAGAATTGCGATGTCCTAATTCTGGCTATTAAATCAGTCACAAAAAATTTGGCTGGAACAGTCAGAAATCACAGGGAAGGAATATAGTAACCTAGATTAAACGTGTAAGTATCTGAGAAGTGACCACTTTTACTGAATCTAATCAGCTCAGCACTTCTGTGGAAGTTCAGTGCAACCATAACTGCCCCTATAAAACTGTCCTTCAAACCCATTGACTCATAACCAGCTTTCTGGGAACCATGTAACAAGGGCTGTTACAGTGGTGGCTAAACACCAGGCATGTAGCAATACCAGAGCTGGACCAGAATCTTCGTGGCGTTGAAGGTGGCTATACCAGAGTAATTGAAACACCACCATTTCGCGGCTCTTAGTTATACTGATGCATGGGCTCAGGCATCTCCCACTGGCCTCAATCCTGCAACTGCTAAGCACCCTTTCAGCAAGCAGAGCATGGTCATCTCTTGCTGAAGTCAGTAGCGGTCCCCCCACACGGTGTCTCACGATAGAGATGACACCATGCAGGAAAAGTCATCCAGGCTGAAAAAGAGTAAACATGTTTTAAAAGAAAACAAACCCTGTGTTCCAGAGTCAATGACGCATACTCTTTGAACTTTCTTCTAAAATTGCTCCGAAATCATAAGGTTGTTATGGTGTGGTTTTACTCAAAATAATGCATATCGTTGTAACACAAGCCTTGAAGTTAAGTGGCTACTTTAATGAAACATAGTTACCATAGTTACTGCAAGAGAACAGAGAATAACTTTTAGTTCTTTTGAAGCTATGAATTAGTTTAAAAAGAGGAAAAGGAATAAACAAGCATGCAGAAGTTTATTATTCAGTGTTTCATGCCTGATCAACTCTAAAAA